AGGTAGGGAGAAAGAGAGAGAGAGAGAGAGAGAGAGAGAGAGAGAGAGAGACAAAGAAAGAGAGAGAGAGAGAGGGAGTCAGAGTGTGATGGAGAGTTTAAGGAAATGCATTCGACTTCTATGCAACTATCTAAAAAATATTAACAAATACTCTATTCAAATCAGTTCCAAATACAGGTTGGTTTTTAATGGGGGCTGATTTTTCTCGACTTACCTCCGTTTACGTCATTGGACAAATCAGTATCCTGTTTTTTTTTTAACTTACTTGTGGCATATCACCCCACTTCTCAAATGGGAACATATTCGCAATATTTATGCATTCTTTTATATTTACTTGTTTCCTTTTTTATTAGCAATCTGTCTTATACTAAACCATAAGCAAATGTATTTTTTGTACAATATGCTTAATTTATTTATTAGAAAAAATTTAAATTTGCACTAAAGAATTAATCACTGACAAATGGAGTCTTCGGTTTGTCTGCTTCATTAAATCTCGATAATTTAACTACAGACCACATGATGCGAACAGATCTGTCTCAGTTTTCGATTTCATTCCATTGCATTCCATTCGACTTATGTAGTTAGTGAAGCAATGCAGTCCTCTCACACGTACTTACATACATTATTGGAGCTCTATACAATTCTTACAAGCACATGTGTTTCTATTTTATTTTAAATATATTTATTATGAGCTAACAGAACATAATTTTACTCATTATCGGCTTTGAATTTCATTTACAATCACTAATATAGATACATATATGACAAAGACACAGTAACTGAGAAACTAAGACAAAAAAAAAAAAAAAATAAATAAAAATAAAACTAAAAAATTAATAATATATAAAATATAAAACAACAAGACCTCTTGGTGTATATAATTAATAAACAAGCAAATATATATGAATATATGACTACCAACGTTACTTATCATATGTCATATGCACTCTAATTTGATATTTTATATATCGCAACGAATGTGAAGAAGGGAGAAGACAAGATTTTGTAATTGCCAACAAAATTTCAATTTATAATAGAAAAAAAAAAAAAAAACTAAAATGCAAAAATTAAAATAAAATAATATAAATGGATACAAAAGCAAACTGCACTCAATATGGAGATTTGGAATCGGAATCTACGAAATCGCATAATACATATGTATCATACGTATCATAGGCAACGCTGACTTGGCGAAAACGTGCCCTTGATGGGAGATATAATAGATGATGAATCAACAATATACGACGATAAGCTGCAATCTGTCCTCCCATTCAATCATGTATTTTTGGCGGCATTTATTTAAAATAACTTCGTTAACAGAGTCCACCAAGTGCATCAAAATAAATATATATAACAATTTCTACATCTATATTAAAATATTAACAAAATTTCATTGAGCTTCACTGAATAAATAATACAAACATATATTATAACAAATAAGAAATTTAAAAAAAAAATTAGATTTATACATAGTTGATATACATATGCATTCGCTAAGTAGTATAAACTAATGCGGCGCCAGCTGCTTGTCCAGGGACTTCTTGACAATGCGGCTGCGCTCCGGCACCGTCTCTGGCTGGGAGTCGCGCTTGAAGACTCGCTGGATGGGCACAGCGTAGGCCAGCGTGTGGCTCGGGAATGGCCGCGGCGTCTGGTGCTGTTGGACCAGACGCAGCACCTCCCAGCTGGGTATGTAGGAGTCCAGCAGCGACTTGGAGTCACGTCCGGCGAACAGATCCGGGGTCAGATCTGGCTGCGATGGCCGGAAGGGCTTCGAGTAGCTGGCTGCGTACCCAGACGCTGGCCGCCTCGTCGTAATGCTGACAAAGCTGGGCGGATAGGGCAGCGGAATGCGGGTGCCGGGCGCATAATTGCGCTGGCCCACGGGGGCATAGGCGAACTGCTTGGACTGCGGCAGCAGCAGCGGCAGCGCCACTGGGCCGCCATGGGAACTGAGGCTGGGACGCAGTGACGGTGCTGGCAGGTGGTGGTGGTGGTGCTGCTGCTGCTGCTGCTGCAAGAAAGCGTAGGGCGGTCGCAGCGGACGTGGTACGGGTCTGGGTATGGGGCGTGGCAGCACTGTGGTGGTGGGAGCTGGCAGCGCATTGCCATTCAGATATTGCACGCCATTTAGCTGAAGCTGCAGGTCCAGATCAAAGGGCACAATGGGTTGTAGAAATCGCGTTTGCGTCTTTGTTGCGGCTGTTGTTGTTGGCGTTGCTGCCGTCGACGCTGACGTAGATGAGCTGCGATCGAGAGGGAGAGATAGAGAGAGAATGTGTGTGTGTGAGAGAGTGAGCGAGATGTGACTTAACGAGCCGCGTTTATCTAATCTCTGCTACTTATTATGGCAATCGATGCTGCCATTTGTCGGAAGCCAACGCCGGCTGCAGTCGTGAGTGAAACTGACCGTTTCAACACCCACCCACAGGCCAAGAGCTATCTATCGCAGATTGGCCCCAGCACTGGATGCGCTCCAGGGCTGCCTGCACTCGCCTAAATGTGTCTTTAAGGGCATTCGATTAACACTGCAATTTTCGCTCATTTTCAGCCAATTCGCCAATTCAATTGACAAACAGGCAATTTGGCTGCCGACAAGAGCTGGAAAACCACAATTCACTGAGCACTTGTGAGTGTGCCTGTGTGTATGTGTTTTTTCATCCAAAGTATCTGAGGGTCTGGTCTTGTTAATGTTGTGGTTTTCTTGAACTCACAAACCACTTTCAATATCTAATAAAAGAACTATATATTATTGTATATGGTCTCCAGCATTTGGTAAAGTATGTATGCTGCCCGGCGGATGCTTAAATCAACATTTCCGCGCTTAAATAGAGTCTGTTAAAGTATTTCACACTTCGCCTACTCATAAAGCAAGAGAGGCCCCACTCATCTGCTAAAACTCGAAAAATACTGGTTAGATTGGGAAATCTTTTATATTTTTATGTCGAATTTTTAAAAATTTTATGAATGAGATTAACAGTTATATCTTTATTGATCTTTATTGATTTTAGTCTACTAAGAATTTATCTAAAATTTATAAAAAATTTTATGAACTGATTTATATTATTCTCTATAAATTTTGTATCTAAAATTTAGTTATCTCATAATTATCTTCTTGCTATCACCCATATTTATTCTGTATTTACACGTTTACTTTGATCATTATTCTATCATCTATATTCAAAATTGAATTCATTCAAAATTTAATTGGCATTAGCCTGATATCTGCCCTATATTGACTTCATATCTAAAAGTTTCTTAGGGTTAATCTGATTTCTATGATTTATATTGATATAGAATGCTTCCATTTCTATTATAAAACTACCAATCAAAACAGAAATCCAGTTTTTAGCTTTCCAAACAAAATTAGCAATTGAAGCAAACATTTCCCTTTGCAAAAATGTCAAACTGAAAACTTTTCTCTGTAAGAGCTTAAAGCTTTCAGGTGTACCCACTAAAGTACACGTTTAAAAAGCTTCGAAGTGTTGCAGTCTTGGCTTGTATGGCTTGTGTCTGCACTTGAGCTTCGCCCCAAGTCACAAGCCAAAAGCTTTTAAGCTCTCCATCTGCATACTTACATTGCATTGCCATCTTTCAGCAGCAGATAGCCACCTGAGAGCTGGTCGGGCAATGCGTAGCCAGCACTCAGCTGCTGATGCTGCTGCTGCAGCTGGCGCAGACGCTCCACCTGCTCCAGCTTGGCGGCGTCGCGGATGTAGCTGGGTGGCACACTGGCCGCCACGCTGGGATGCCACTCGTAGTGCGTGGGCAGCAGTGGCAGACGATTGAGATCGAGCCGCTGCTCCTGCTCGCGCTCCAGATCCTCGAGACTCAGCTGAAGTGGCGTGCTGTCATCGTCGTAGCCATGTGGTGGGCGCTGCAGCGCTGCTTGAGTCGCGGTCACCACAGCCAGCAGAGCCCAGAGCAAAGCTAGTTGTCTCTGTGGAGGCAAAGTAAAGAAGATGTTGAACTGGCCAGTTTTAGCAAGCGAATGGAATGACGCAGGTGTACGCAGTTTGTGTTTATTGTTACTATTGCTGAATGCTAACTAATTGCTTGGCTTTGGAATCGGCGGTGAAAGGTTTACGCTTTGCTAGCTGCCTTTCGCTGAAATGTGGCCAGTGCCACGCCTACCTGCGACCAGTGATGCATTTGATTGGGATTTGAGATCGGCCGGCTTGACGAATAATAATAGTAATACATTAACTGTGAAATTGGCAACACACAGGCTGCTATTATAGGTGGGGGTGGCCAGCCAGCCAGACAGCCAGCTAGTTGGCCAGACGAGCAGCTGGCCAAACGGCACAAGGCCATGTCGAGAGCCACTGATAAGCAGCGCCTTTCTAAATCGCTGGTCCAAACTAACGGCCATTTGTCACGAAGCACTCAAACGCATAGCCAACTCGAAGCGGCCCCGATTGCAACATTCCTGCTGCATTCAACGTGAGACGGTCTCAAATTGAACCGAAAACTGCACTCGTCTCGCCAGCCAAAAATTGCAGTTTTGTGCAATACCCAATGATGCCACATTCAAAAAATAATAAAAAAGAAGGCAAAAGATCGTTAAAAAAAAATAAAGTAACAAAAAAATCCGTTCAAAAGTCTTTGAGAAACTAGTTGCAATTTTTGGCCAAGCGGCTGCACAGCATTCGCCGTGGCGCTCGCAGCCAGTTGGAGCTGTCAGTGCCATCGTGAGAATTATCATAGATGCGTGCGCCAGTTTGGCGCTGCTCTCTAATTATTTTGCTGGCCACAGTGGCTGGTAATGATCGCTCGCAGGTCACATGCCCGGCGCTGCGAATGCAAATGCAGCTTGATTGATGACAGCTCGGCTAATGGATCTGATGGACTGCCAATTGTCAGCGCTAAAGTGCGTAATTTGCGCGCCTTTGTTTGGCCCGCAGCAAAAAAGAAACCACAATAAAACAAAAAAATCTCAGCAAAATCAAAAGACTTAAAAGACAAACTCGCGCCTGCCAAGAACAGCTCTGAGTGCCCTGAGGGCCCTGGCCATCAATCATACTTCTGTGTCATTCACTGATGTCAACCTCTACGCTGGGCGGTCCAAGAGCGTCAGATTGTTGCAGTCGAAGGCGAATAGCTCTATGCTCAGACAATGAATGAATTTTGCTCTTAACTTTAGGAATCACCGCAAATTGGAGGTTGTCTATAATGACTTTTGATGTACTAATAGTTAGCCTGGTTTTGTGTGGTCTTCCTAAGTAATGGCTAATATGATGTTCTCAACTGTTTGATAGTGCAATAATTGGTCTCTGAAAGCAAAGGTGCTGACACCAAAGACCAGTGCTAAAATCTTAGATATAAGGCTGCAAGTAGCTAATTGTCTAGGCCTTAAAGTTTACTTCGGGAATATCTGTTAAATTATAAAAACCCACTCTGAGTTGTCTTTGGCTCTGTTCAAATCTAATGCAATAAAAATCTTGATATAATAATCTTATAGTTACATGAACTATATTAACATATGAGCTGAAAGAAACTACTCTCAACATAGGAACAGTTCAATGAATGTACATTAAATGCTGAGTATTAATATGAATATGTAAGCTGAATGGAGGAATGTGTTCATTATTTACGTAAGCAATAGGGATATATATCAATTATTCATGCAGCTAATTTATATATAGGTCAGCGAAGACAAAGAAGATTTGGAATCTCATGCCTCAGGGAATAGCTCTATGAACGTACATAAAGTCCTTTATCACTTTTACATTCAGTAGTTATGAATAAACATATACATATGTAAGATAACTCTGAAATCTCCCACCTCAAGTAACAGCTCTATCTGCATACCGTTAAGTCATCATACTTCATTTAAACAAAAACTTCCTGTCAATATTTACTAACTCAATACTCAGTCTAAGCTTTATCTTCTTTTTCGGGTCACTTCAGCAAACCTTTCGAGCTTCAGCTCTTTACGCACCATTTCAGCACTTTGCACGATTCGAGCTGCTAGATTTTTGGCAAGTCTTTGGCCTTATTTAGCGCACAGTCGTAAAAGAAACGCGACCAATCACTTTGGTTATGCTTTAAAGCGGATGTTCCTTAACAACCAAAATTAAATTTCCAACGCACAGCCGACATTCGCGATGTAACCAGAGAGAGTGAGAGAGAGAGAGAGAATGAAACAAAACAGCACAAACAAAAAACACAAACAAAAAATAAATAAACAAATGCGGCGCAATTTGAAACGAAACCGAAACCAAACAACGTAGCGTAGCAATTGCGACTGCGACAGAGCGAAGCGTTAACGGTGCGTTTTATACCAAGAGCCAACTTGGCTAACACAGAAATAGCCGTGCAGTTCTGCAGGCATGGCCAAAGCCCAACAAGTGGACGCATTGTTGCTGCTCGGGCCAGCACAGCGACAGAAAGAGAGAGAGAGAGGGACAGACAGACAGAGAGAGATAGAGAGAGAGGCAGATACAAAATGAGATAGAGAGAGAGAGAGAGAGGGCAATAAACGTTTAGCAATGCAGATGGGAGTCAGTCGAAGGATTGCAGCTGTAACTGAGCCAAGTGAGCCAAGCCCACGAATGCGAAACAAAAGGCGGCTAAGAGCGCCAAGTGCGCGCAATTAATTGAAATGGAAAGTGCGGGCAAGCACAGCCACCGCTCGGAAATTTAAAATTGAAATCATTTCAAACATTGAACACCGCCCCAAACTTCAACACACAAAAAATAAAAATAGACAACAGCAACAATATGCAAAGTCAAGCCATCAAAGCTAATTTACGCATTTAAAAGTGTTATAACAGCCACAGCCAACATACCACCTCCCCCCCCACTCTCCCCCAAAGCAATCTCCCCTTTCACCAACCCTGCACCTGCTCTGCGACAGAGCAACGAGAGCATCTCGAACATGACCATTAATTGAACCATATTCAAGTAGTTTTCTAGTTTCTTCTGCTGCTGCTTCTTCTTCTTCTGCTTGGTATTAGTTGTGTTGTTGTTGTTGTTGTTGTTGTTGTTGTTAACCATTCACTTCCGCCACGAGGCGCAGGCAAAGGCAATCGCCGTCGTAGCAAGTGTGCCTAATCAGTTCCATCCATATCCAGAGCAGAGCCAACAAATTCCATTACGCTGGCCCCACAAGACGCACTGGGCACGCCGTGGGGCGTCGTCAACGCCATTAGAGCAGCTCGAAAGTAAATTGTAGCAGCATATGTACATCGATGTGCTGCATTCGATAATCGGCAGTTTCGGGTATGGCCAGAGATGTTGTACACTAAAACTGTACCTGCCTTATCGAGCAGGTGTGTTGGCAGAACTGAGTTATCGCTGATTGCCAAAGATATTTCGTGAAGCGAATAAGATGTTATTTGAATATAGTAAAAGTATATATATATATATATATTCACATATAAATCTTAGTATATTATCTATATTATTAATTTATGTCCTCAATTGCAATAGAAGAATGATAATGTATATACAGTAGAATCCGGTTATAACGACTGCGCTTATAGCATCTGTACGGTTATAGCCACAAAAATTCTGGTCCCCAGACAAACTTTTATGAGCAAACTTATAACGATGGTCACTTGAGTGTCGTTATAACCAAATTCCACTGTATAATAATACAAATAATAATAGTAATAATAATATATAATAATAATAATAATAATAATAATATTAATAATAATAATAATAATAATAATAA